AAGAGAGAATTCAGCCTTCTATATACCTACAACACCTTATCCAAGAGAGGTGCCTCCTCTAGCAACAATAGTGCCAGCAGTAACCCTATACGATATGCCGATCTGATATTTATAGCCTGGATTATGAAGATAGTGGTGGAGGTGATGCATCATGTGCCAATACTAGCACCCCTAGTAGCAGCACAAGTACCACCAATTTTCATGCATCAGTAGATAATATGATTACACTAGTTTAGGCAGTAAAGAGCATGTGAGAGTTGGGGTGAAAGTAATTTACAGGAGAACCAGATGTTAAGATTGTAGGCAGATGGCTACCGTATAGTATATGACATTATGGAATAAATTTGGGTGGTAGGGGATTTGAAAGTGAATTGTGATACTCATTTACTATAAGACAGAACACGATCTTGGTGGGATATAATGTAATTTAGGAGACCTATGAGGTCTTTAATATAAGCTGAGTTTATGGTGCAGTTTGAAAACAAGTGTTACCCATCATATCATCAAAAGGTAAAGAGGCAAGAGTTTTTGACTTTAAGACAAGGTGATATGTCATGACCTCTCAATGTTTGCCTCGCGTCATATTCCTATAAAGCAGTAATTAATTGAGAAACTACGTGATGGGCTATGACAAGAGTTAAAACAAGCATTTCTCCCCTTAATGTGTAGGACATCTAGGGAATTGGTGGAAACAGCTAAGGCCTTTAAGGCTTGTATGAAAAAGGGCTAGCAGGGCCAGATGAGTTTAAGCAAGTGAAGAGATGTTAAACAGATATCCAGTTAACCTTCTTTTCCTAAAAAAGGCAAAGGTCAAATTAGTCAATTAAAAAAAAGATCGAAATCTGGGTCCACTCAAAGTTCAGGAATGAGACTTGCCAAAAGGTGGTCATACTCGTAAAATGGTCTTATTGGGGGGGATTCTAGAGTAAAAGACATGCCCCACTGTGATCAGTGTGGGAAGAGACATCTTATGGAATGTTTTGTTATATCTAAATGATATATTTATCAGGAGAGCGCAGATGGAAGGACTGCCCTTTTCTAGGTTAGATTTGTTGTCATTGTGGAAGATAGGGTCATTTTAGAAGAAATTACCCTAGGATAATGAAGTTTGCACAGAGCTAGGGATAGTAGACTAGGAGCAAACAACAATATGTCATTGTTGATAGACCAATAAGATAGGCATAATCAGGGGTTAGTGGTATAACAGGTCGTCCTAGAGCATCAGATGACAGGACTTAAGGTAAGGTATTCTATATAATATAAAAAAATGTTGGGGCTACTTCGGATGTTGTAACATGTACCCTACATTTAGATTTTCAATAAATTTTTTATTTAATTGATTTTAGTGCCACATATTCTTTTATGACAAAGAGATTTAAAAGTAAATTAAGTGTAAAACAATTAGGGTAAAACCAGGGTTTATTATTAGTATGCCTCTAGAGGTTAATGTTATGGTGGGGGCTTAGTTATAGAGGTAGATTAACTACCCTTAAAACTCTATATCTTAAATTTAATTTTAGGAATAAATTGGCTAGGTAGGTATAAAGCCTGAATAAATTGCTTTACGAAAACAGTGACCCTCAAGAAGTATGAGAGTAAGATAGTGGTGTTTAAAAAGAATAGAAATTTATACCAAATAGTATTATTTCGGTTATAACAGCTAGAAAGATGATGAAAAAGGGATGTAAAACTTATATTACTTATGTCTTAAAGAAATAAAGAGGAAAAGCTCAATTGTTAGACCTCCTGATAGTAAAAGAATTTCTTGATTTATTTTTAAAAGAATTATAAGGATTGCTTTCGAGAAAAGAAGTAGAGGTTTTCATTGGCTTATTACCCAGAACCTCCCTTATAACTCAATCACCTTATAGGATAATGCTCACTGAATTAGTTGAGTTGAAGATTCAACTTTAAGAATTATTGAATAAAGGATTCATACATTAAAGTAACTCACATTGGGGAGCTCCAGTGTTATTTATGAAAAAGAATGATGGGACTCTAAGACTTTGTATTGATTATAGGCAACTAAACAAAGTAACGATGAAAAATAAGTATTTGTAATTATAGATAGAAGATTTATTTAACTAGTTAAAAAGGGTAACTAAGGGTTTTCTCAAAAATAAACCTTAAGTCTGGATACTATTAATTCTCAATCAAGGAACAAAATGTGCTAAAAATTGCATTCAAAACCCGTTATTGACATTGCGAGTTATTAGTAATGCCTTTTTGAGTTGACAAATGCTCCCGTGGTGCTTATGGATTTGATGAAATAAGTGTTTTGACATTTTCTGGATAAATTTGTTATAGTGTTTATAAATGATATTTTGGTTTGTTCAAGATCATACTTAGAGCATGAACAAAATTTAAGATAAGTATTATAGATTTTAAGGGAGCATTGATTATACACCAAGCTGAATAAATATAAGTTTTAGTTAAATGAAATGATTTTCTAGGCTATATCATGTTTGCTGAAAAGGTATTGGTGGATCCCTAAAAGGTAGAGATAGTGCTAAAGTGGGAGAGACCTATATATGTGATTGAAATTCATAGTTTTCTTGGGTTAGCGTGATACTACATGAGATTCATTAAGCAATTCTCTACTATAGTTGTTCTAATGACCCGATTAATTCAAATTGGGACAAAATAGAAATGGACTAAAGACAATGAAGTGAGCTTTTAAAAGTTAAAAAGGAGGCTTACCACCACTCCAGTGTTAACATTACCTTTAAAGACAGAAGGGATTGTAGTTTATGGTAATGCTCCAAGAAAAGGTCTGGGTTGTGCATTAATAGAGCATGGTAAAATGATTACTCATACCTTAAGACATTTGAAGTCTCATGAGGTTAACTACCCGATACTCGATTTAGAATTAGCTATAGTGATATTTGCATTACATGTTTGAAGGCACTATTTGTATAGGTCTCGTGTTTAGATTTTCACATACCATAAAAGTTTGAGATATTTAATGTCATAAAGAGACTTAAACATTCTACAAAAAGATAGGTGTAGCTCATTAAGGACCATGATTATGAAATTAAGTATCACCCAGGAAGGGCAAATGTAGTAGTTGATGCCCCTAGTCATAAGTATAAAACAATATCAAATGACTGGAAGTTTGGGATTAAAAAAAGCTACTTGAATTGAGAAAGATTGACACCAAGATAAAAGTCAGGCCTAACGATTCCTTAATCGTTCAATTAAGAATGCAGTCTACATTCTAGGATAAAGTGTTAGAAGCTCAATTAGAACATGTTAGAATAAGAAATATGGTGAAATTATGAGTAGACACTCGTTTTCAGATACTAGATGATGGAATGGTCACTATGAAAAGGTGAATATATTTGCCAAAAAATAAGATATTAAAGAATAAAATGTTCAAATAGACACATAATTCTAGATTTGCAACACATCCGAGAAGTACTAAAATATATAAAGACTTAAAAGATTACTACTAGTGACCAGCAAAGTATGTGTCCAAGTGTTGTGTTTGTCAATGAATAAAAATGAAGCATTAGAAGCCAGTAGGGCTTTTTTAACCACTTTTAATACCATAATAGAAATGGAAGGATATCACAACAAACTTTATATCTGATATGCCAAAAAAAAAAGAGTGATGCCATATAGGTTATTATAGATCAACTAACAAAATCCATTATCTTCTTACCTATAAAAATGACAAACCTGGTTGACAAGTTAACTAGGTTATATGTAAACAAAGCGATGAAATTGCATGGAGTACCAAGTCGATTGTCTCATATCAAGATCCCATATTAATTTCCTGTTTATAGACAAATATCAAACACGCTATAGGAAAAAAGCTAAATCTAAAAACTGTTTTTCACCCCCAAACTAATGAATAATTTGAAAGAATAATCCAAAGCCTAAAAGATCTATTAAAGGCATGTATACTAGAGCTTAAAGGTTATTAGGAGGATTACTTGCCACTAGTTAAATTTACTTATAATAATAACTATCAATCTATAATCGGGATGACACTTTATAAGGCCTTATATGGTGGAAAAATACTGAACCCCTGTATCTTAGGAGGAGGTTAGAGATAAGAAATTCATTGAGCTTGAATTTATTTTAAAAAATATGATAATCATAAAACATAGAATGAAAGCAATATAAGATAGGTAGAAGAGTTATGCATATAAAATGAAACGACCTCTTGAATTCGAAGTGGGGGACACATTGTATTTAAAAGCTATTTCATGGAAACATATATCATGATTTGAGATAAAAAGAAAGTTGACACCGAGATATATCAGACCCTATGAAATTAATAAGAGAGTTAGGCCTATGATATATAGTTGATTTTGCCCTCCCATTTGGCTAAGATTCATGATGTGTTTTATACTTAATTACTA